GTCTGTCCCTCGTCGGCCGAGCGCATCTGACGSGTGTGGTACCACATCCCCTCGTGCCCACACCTGGGACAGCGCCTTTCCACCTGTGCCCGACCCCAAAATCCCCATTATTCACCCCAAAAAAATCCCAACATTCACCCCAAAAAATCAAACCTTACCCCCGCACCGAAATTCCGGTGTTTGGCTTAAAAATTCCTGTGTTTTTACCCCAAAATATCCAGTTTTAAGCCTCGAAATTCCCTAAATTCTGGTGTTATCCATCCCAAAATATTCCATTATTCAGTCAAAAAAATTCCGGCATCACCTCGTCCCAAAATTCCAGTGTTTAGCCCCAAAAATCCCAAATTTATTACCCAAAAAACCCCGGTGTTTTCCCCCAAAATTCCACCCAGAAAATTCCCAAATTTCCGGCTTTATCACCCAAAAAATCCAATTTTTTTTTCCCCCTCTCCCACTGAATTTTTGGGCTTTTCCCTCCATTCCTACAGAATTTTTGCCCAATTTTCATGGAATTTTTTCCCAATTTTAATGGAATTTTTGCCCATTTTTCATGGAATTTTTGCCCAATTCCCATGGAATTTTTGGGACTTTCCCCAATTCCCATGGAATTTTTGGGATTTTCCCAAATTCCCATGGAATTTTTGGGAATTTCCCCTCCCCCCACTCACCGTGGGTCCCTCCAGGGGGGCGGAGCCGCCCCCGCCCCTCCCCCCCCCGGGCTCCAGGGGGTTGAACTCGAGGGAGCTCCGGACGGTCCTGCCCTCGAAATCTGGGGAAAAAATGGGAATTTTGGGAAATTTAGCATTTTTGGAAAAATTTTGGGAATTTGGGAGGGGTTAGGGTGGTTTTTTGGGGCAGAATTTGGGGGTTTTTGAGGGGTTTTGAGGGGATTTTTTGCACGGTCCCAGTCCCAAAATCTGAATAAAAATGGGAATTTTGGGAAATTTCAGGATTTTTTGGGGAATTTTGGGAATTTGGGAGGGGTTTGGGTTTTTTGGCATAGAATATGGGGGATTTTTTGGGGATTTTACGGATCTTTACAGGATTTTAATGGGTTTTTACAGGATTTTGCGATGTTTTCGGGTTTTTTTTTGGATTTTGGGATTTTTTTCGGTTTTTTTTCCCCAAACCTGAGCAGTTGAGGCAGAAGGAGCAGCGGGGGCAGCGGATGGAGCTCGGGGGGCCGGGCCGGGGGAGGACGGAGCCGCACTCGGGGCAGAATTCCAGCCGGGATTGGAACCGGGACTGAGGGAGCTCCATGGCTGAGGGG